CCCCAAAACCCCAAAACCCCAAAACCCCAAAACCCCAAAACCCCAAAACCCCTTGAGGGATGATATAAATTGTCTCACTAATTTAATAAAATATAACTCAAAATTATCTATTTGATGTTCAGTGTGAAAAACGTTAGAAGTGCTAGAAGGTTTAGCAGCTTAGCTAGGATACCTTCAGCTAGAAAATTCTCGATTATTGAGAACTCGTCAGTGAAATCTGGCATAAGTGTACTGCCAATCTATAAGAATGGACATAAAATTAACATCGAAGTGAACCAGACAAAGATGCAAGAGAGGTATTCCCCAAAAGTTAATTCCAAATTGGGATCAGAACTGTGCTTTACAAGGGATAAAGCCTTCATCAAGTATTTGACCTCCATTCACTTAAGAAGTAAGGACAAGGAGACTATCTCTGCAGCTAGACTGTTAGCTTATTTTATTACTCAGAAGGTGAAGCCAGAAGATGAACCTACTGATGATGAAACTTTCCAAGATACAATGGACAAAGCTATCAACCAAGAAGCTCTAGGTGAACTGAATGTTAATCCTGATGTGCTCAATGGAGTTGCACGAGGTCTCTCTCATATTCTAGACTTTATTAAGAAAAATTCTAGAAAAATTCATGATGATAAATCATTAATCCTTAAGGCGGGGTCGCTATACTGCAGAGGTAATCATGACATCTCCCAGGTTATCGACTTTGTTAATTTTGGCGAAACTGTAAGAACTCTGATAGTCACTAAAGATGTCTCAGGAACTAAAAATGAAAGCTCACTGGCAATGTATGACTCTCTAGCCCTTGATGTTGGCCATTCTTCATTCCACTTCGTAAATGACCAGTTGAATTATCGATATGAATCCAGTCGCCCAATTATTGTTCTGACTGAGAATTTGGACGAATATCTTGCAAAATCAGTTTTAAGCCAATTGGAAGGCCTCGCTAATGGAATTGTTTTCGTGACTAAAGATGCAGACTCAGCGACTATTGACCTTCTTCAAGCAAAGAAAAAAGAATCTGGACTTGCTCTTTCTGTTGTTAATCTCTCCGAGGAGGATAATGAAGATTCAGAATCTTTCGAAATTCTCAAAGATAATTTGAACAATTTAGGTGAACAATCCTTTGATGGTGAATATTATCTCAAGACTTGTGAAAGAGTTATAATGGATGATGTATCCACTTTGTTCATCGATAAGAAGCTGAAGCGTCCATCAGATGGCTCTAATTCTGAATACTTTCAAGAAATAGTTGAAGTAAACCTCCAAAGCCCTGATGAGACTTGGTGACATGAAATTAAAAACCAGCTGCTAGAAGCTAACACTAACCTTGAAGACTCCCTTATAGATGGAATCCTTCCTGAGTTTAACACGACTCTAAAGTTAGCCAATGAGAATTTGAAAGATTTCTATTCAGACGAACCAAATATCCAGATTGGTCTAGAAATTGTTCAAGAATCCATCGATGCTTATCTAGAAGCAATAGAGGAGAGTGACAATAAGTCACCCCCTTCAGTCGGAAAAGCTATTAAGGAAGCTATCTCTGATTGTAGTTTCATTCCTGAGAAAAAAGCCACTGAAGCGATCACCGACATTTGGGCTATTTGTTCTTATTTGCTTTCTCAAAAAGAGCAAGAGACCCAAACTAGACATTTTGAAAATTAAATAAATATTTCTTACATTTCAATATAATAAAAATAATAAGGGGTTTTGGGGTTTTGGGGTTTTGGGGTTTTGGGG